TTCTTTTTTTTAAATATTTCAATCGGTTCATCGTTTTGCGACTAGTCCGATTTGGGACGGGGTCCAGGATTAAGACTTTAAACTTCTCCCAAAGGTGGTACTGGAAAAGATCGAACACATACGCTCACCTCCACCTGCTCAGCTCCCATGCGCCAACTGAGCTACCACCATTTGACGGAAAGGAGTATAATAATCTCAAGGGAAATTGTAAGGAAAAGAAAAATATCTTCTAAAGAGAGTTATGTTGACATTTACGAGTCTAACGTTAACGTGTTATTGATGTGGAAAGGTCAAGACTATGTGTTTTGGAATCCAGAGTTTCTTCTAAAGAGCATTGATCTTTCAAGTAATCATCTAACAGGTGAAATACCAACTGAAGTTGTTCAGTTGCTTGGATTAGTTTCTTTGAATTTATCAAAAAACAATTTAAGTGGAGAAATTCCTTCAGAGATTGGGAATTTAAATTCACTAGAATTTCTTGATTTGTCAAGAAATCACTTGTTTGGAACAATTCCTTCAGCTCTTTCTCATATTGACCGTTTAGCTGTGTTAGACTTGTCAAACAACTCTCTCTATGGAAAAATCCCATTGGGGACGCAACTGTAGAGCTTTAATGCCTCTAGTTTTGAAGGAAATATGGATCTTTGTGGTAAACCACTTGACAAAAGTTGTCCTGAAGATGACAAACCAGTAAAGCCTCAAGGACCAACATCACATGATAAAGATGATAATTCAGTTTTCTATGAAGCATTATACATGAGTATGGGGCTAGGATACTTCACAGGCTTTTGGGGCTTAATAGGGTCAATAATACTTTGGAAACCTTCGAGAAATGCTTACCTCAGTTTCTTGAACAAATTGACAGTGAATATGGTTCGGCGCGTAAGGTGAATATAACAGGTACTGATAGCTTCTTTTTTTCAAGTTCTTTGTTTTATTTTTATTTTATTTTTCCTTCTGATGCAGATACCCAAATCAATAATTACTTCTCATTTGGAAAGGGAAATATTTTTATTTTTATTTTTTTTTTTAAAAAAGAAGAAGGAAAAACTCATATAGACATGAATCTAATTGCCAGAAGTTACTAATGTAATTGTACATCCTATCTTATACATTCTAACTTGCTACAATATTGCTTTAACTGGAGTGCATCTTACAACAAAAAAAGTTAGAAAAGAAAATTTTGATGTATCAGTTTTGATGTGCACACTGTTATGTATTGCACTTGTAATTAGAAGTGCATATTACACTTGTAATTTAATATGTACCAGTTTTGATGTCTTCCTTACAAAATGCATACATGAATTTGTTTCTTGGTAACTAAATTAACAACAGGGACAAGTTTTTTCTCTCTTAGCAAAACCAGCTTTGTCTTCGTGGACATAAGAGATGATTTGTTTTCACTTATTTTCTAGTGCTGCTACGGACACTATGAATCTACGATTGATTTCCCATCACAGAGTTTATATGTACAGTTTCATTATATTCCATTTTCTTTTGAACCATGTCTCCCGGATTAAAGTATGGGAAATGCTTTTCTCATGCTACATGAGATAGTATTATCTCATGTAGAGACATAATTGGGTGGATCCCACGGTTAAAAGAAAAAAAAAAAAAAATGCTGGCTCGGATTGTGATGTATCTGCGACATGAGATAAAAAATTTTATGTAACTTGAGAAAAACATTTCTCTTAAAGTATTTACTATAGCACTCAAAATCATGATTATTTTCGGGAAGCAATTACAGTTACTGTGTCAAATTTCGAGAATTTGAATTGATTTATTAGGATATCTTCACTAATGTTTTAGCCTCCTAAAACTAAAAGTGCTTCTTGTCTCCATGTTTTGGTACTCCCTTACTTGGTTAGATACATTTTCAATTTCATTTATTCAGATGACTAAAACTCTGTTTTTATCTTTCGTTTCACCACATTAATATCCGTACAATAAAGTTTTCAATTTATTGCAGATATGCTACAATCTTCTGATTAGGGATGAAAGCGTCATAGGTTGTTGCACGTGCAAGATATATAATAATATTGGAGATTACAATATAAGATCTGGTTTGTGCTCAAGTAATGAGTTGCAAAATCGTTGTTTGAAGAAACTTACCATGATTTGATAGTGTTTTAGGATATAATACATTTGTATTTCTTTTTCATATATGTGCTTGGAGTTGTGAACTTGTAATATCTATAATTTGATCGTTTTACATTTCATCTTCAACAATACTTTCTGCTTGTTGCCACATTATAAATATCAATAAAAAAGCAAGATATATACCCCATTTGTTCCAAGTTTCTGTTAGTACATTTGTTTCCCTTGTGTTAAACCTTTGTTGGTATACTTCTCACCATCAAAATCCCCAGGTATAGCCTTCAAATTTGCATTGAGCGTTATGTTGAAGGTCTTCACACATTTTAAGAAAATATTATATGAAATTTTTCTTGAAAATAGGTAAGAGATTAAGCATTCCACCCACAAAATGGAAATCTAGAATTGTGGCTCTTGTATTATACGGATAATAGAGGCCAATAAGTTCCCATCAATTCAACCCAGAATTCATAGGTACATAAACAAGCCATCTCAAATAGAGATTTTTTCCTTCGACGATATAGAAGGATTGCTACTGCAAAAAGTACTACACCCTTGATCACAAGCCATCACAAATAGAGATTTTTTTCTTTCAACCATCTTTCCATTGTTTATACAATATCTACTGCAAAAAGTACTACACCCTTGATTGTGAAATATTAACTGCGAGAAGAGTGTGACTAAATATGACCATTCTGAGAAGCCCCCTAAGATATGATCATTTAAGAGTCCGTTTGTTCAAAGTTATTTCCTGGAAAGATCTCATTTAAATTGTTTCAGACTATATGGGTAAGTTTAAAAAAGAAAAAGAAAAATTACAGTGAGTAGATTCTGATAAATAGATGCCGCATATGAGAGAACGTGCTATCCAAAAAGTTGAGGAGAAATAATAATCTTTTTAAAGTCTTGTACTTGAGAATTTCATGTTATGTTTAGTAAGTGGAAAAATGGAGGAATGGAATGAAATAACATAATTGTTATTAGTTGAATTCTTTAAAATGTGGTGGAATGGAGTGGAACCTTTTGGAATCTATTCAATTCCATTAAAACCAATACCTCTATTTTTTTCCCTCCCAATAGGGGGTTTGAATTTGAACCAATTTATTGTTCACTATGGGATATTAATTTGGATCAATATAGGTTTTTATCAAATTTATTTTCTTTATTTCTGACAAAACAATCTTCCTCATGAACCTTTTTCTGATTTTCTTATTGTTCGTGCTTTTTAGAAAAGGTCTTATTTGAGAGCTGAAAATGTAAAGGAAAAGCCAGAAACTTATGAATCTGTGTATATTTGTTATGTTCAAAATTCAAATGGTGAAATAATAAATAAAGAAATGTATTGATGAAACTAAAGGACTAACAACAGGAAGAGTTTAATACAGCAAACTATCCATCAATATTATGGATATCAGTTAACTTCTGCATTTTAAACTTTAAAGGTTTGAAGTAAGCATTTTAATTAGAAATTAGGATATGATTCTGTCTCGTGTTTTGTAGTCTACAGAGTAATTTTCCCTAATGAAAACCAGAGTATTTTTCGTTCATCTTTGAAACCTGATGATATTAAATGGTATAATAACATATGTAAAGAACCAATTTAACCCAAAAACTTAAGCTGTTGGGTGAGGCTACATTAATGGTTTTATATATCTCAACACGCCCCCTCACACGAGAGCCCACTGGGCTTGAAGGGTGTGCGAACAAAGAAATTCAACTTGAAAGAAAATGGGAGGCGGCGATGATCGAACCCGGGACACGAGGCTCTGATACCATGTAAAGAACCAATTCAACCCAAAAGCTTAAGTTGTTAGGTGAGACTACATTAATGATTTTATTACTTTTATATATCTCAACAACATATAACATAGCAATCAATGGTTGTTCATGTTTCGTTACACAAAGAAAAGGTGTCAGTTTCTAGAAAATGAAAACCCCCAGGAATTTCTAGTCAAAAATTGTCATGCATTCTTAAGAAGAATCCACTTTTGATAGGGTAGAAATACAGACAAAGCTATCAAAGTAGCATTAGAAGAATTCTAGACATAACTATATTAATAGTATTCAAATCAAGAACCACAAAGCCTACCTAAAATAAAAATTAGTTAACAGTTCAACCAGACTAAGGGTCTGTTTGATTGTGTTTTGGTTTTTTTGTTCTTAAAACTGTTTTGTTGAATAATTATGGAAATAGTTGTTTTCTATGTTTTTTTTATTTTGAAAGTTAAAAACCAAAACAAAAAACAAAAACAACTCAGACATGTTCTCTAAATTTGATTCTAAAAACAAAAAACAGTTACAGTTTTTAAAACTTTTTTTACAAAACAGGCCTTACCAAACGAGTTTTTTTGTTTTTTTGTTCTAAAAACTAAAAAACTGTTTTTGAAAACAGTATTCAAACAGAGCCTAAGTTGCTGAAGCCTGAAGGTAAAAGCAGTTGAGATATATTTGAAACATTGTTTCCATTATGTTAGAACTTTAAGGGTATGTTTGGATGAAGTAGTTTGAAGGGAAAGGAGGTGGAATTTTTTTATTTTGAAGTTAATATTTTAGTATTTGGACATTTTTTAAAATGAAAGGAATAAAATGATATATTACCATGTAACCTTCCAACCATTCCATATTCATTTTTATAAACATTTTATGAATCTCTTAATTTAAAACTGAAAAATTAACCCTCCCTCCCCTTTCCCTCCAAATCCCTCCATCCAAACAAACCCTACAAAACAGAATGTTTTCACATATTTAGCCCCTATTGTTGGAGATCATACATATCAATATGATCTATGCACAAAAATGGTCTATGGAGTATCACTATCTCAGGGTTGGGACATGTACAATACAATGGAGGTTTCGAAAAACAGTTTAATTCACAAGACTGTGTGCAATATAAAAATATAATCGCCATAGCTTCAAAGGAGCAAAATGATTCAAGTATTAGACTAAGAATATGAGAGGGAAGCAAAGAATGATAAAGATACCAACGAACATCCCACATGTGACATATTTGGATGCTTAAAAATAGAATTCTAGAATTGTTGCGGTGAGCAATCCTGAACTTCTCGCATCAAGGCTGGGACCAGCAAGATCACTTCAATTGTAATCATTACAACAAATGTCTACTACATGGCCAACAAAGATAACATCACAGAAATTTAAATGTGTATAATAAACCCTGCTAGTGGCACATTTTCCATAATAACAATTATGCATCAAGATAACTACTTTTCTGTTAAAAAATTCTCCATGTAACTGAAGAAACTATCAATGAAGAGCCTTATGGACTTATGTAGATATCATATCATATCAAACAAAACAAAGCCATCTAACATCAGAATAAAAAAATTAAACAACAGAAAACCAAGGGAGAACCGAAAATACCGCAAATGGTGTAAACTCAGCTAGGAGAAATAGACATTTCACTCAACTCCTTTCTTCTAAGATACTGATGCAGTATAGCAAGCCTAGCAGTTTCAAAAGCAAAGTACCCCAATGCTGAAAAACAAGCACTATGAAGAACCCTAGGACCCATTCCACGTGTCAGTCCAATCCACCCTTCATCCTTCAAGATTTGCTTCACAGTAGCACCAACCCCACCATACACAACCTTACTCACACCATCCCCATGAAGCTGAGTCATCAACCTAGTCTTAACCACATCCAATGGTGTGGTAAGAGAAGCAGATATTGCACCAGCAAGTGCACCACAAAACACACTCTGAAAAGGTTCCAAGTGGTTCTTATTAGTCCTATTCAACACTGCAGCTTTCAAATATTCAAATGATGAATAACTCAAAACCCCAGCAGGTAAATTCCTAAGCAATGTAGCAGAATAACCTGCATAAAGACCCATCACACCATCTTTCTCCAAAATCCTCACCAAAACTTCCCAAGACCTTCCCTTTGCACCAGCTTGCATTCTCTGTGTTATTAATTCCTTTGGCACCATTATTGCAGACGACACGACGTTTCCCATTGCGCCAGCACTTGGTGGGATCAAAACGGCAGGGTAGTTCTCCAGTTTTGACAAAAACGACTTACCGAACTCGCAGGTGCCGAAATAAACAGCAGAGGAAGCAGTGGAACCGACAATAACAGCAGAGACACCACTGTAGAAGCCAAGAACACCCTTTGACTGAAAAGTCTTCACAACCGCGTCAAGGGCATTTTTGTAAATTTCGGAGGCGCCCTGTGTTTGCATCTTGGTCTTGATTGTGTCGAGTGGGTACAAGCACACGTAGGTAAACGCGCCGGCGATGCCGCCACCGGCAGCGCCGATGAGGGCGCGCTCGAGGACTGAGAGGTTCTTCATCAGGGTTTGGACTTTTGGGTTGTTTCTGGAAGTGGGTCGGAGCCATTTCGGGAATCGGGTCGGGTTGGATGAAGTTGTTGAAGCGAAGGGGAGGTTGTGGTTATGGTTGTGAATGTCGATGGGTTTGTTGTTGTTGTTGTTGTTGTTGTCGAGTGTAAGGGTGGTGAAGTGGTTGAAGAGTCCTTTGAATTCGGTGAGTGTTGAGAATTCTTGGGGTTTTGGAGATGGGAGGCCAAGAGAGGATGAGATTCTGGCCTCCATTAAGACTAAAAGGGCAAAAAAGAAAAAAAAAAAAAAATAGAGAAAAAGAGACCGATAGGTTGAGAAACACAAATGCTAAGAGAAGGACATAAGTATTTGGTTTGGTTTCTTGTCCAATAAAATATAAAAAAAACAATTGTATTAAAATTCATGATATTAGTGTTTATAAAGATTTCTATTAGGTTATTTTTTTCTCATGTTACGCCAAAAAGAAGTTCTTCTATCCATCGCCACTTATAATTATGTAATTCCTACATTACATAAGCATAAAGAGGGAATAGAAGCAATGACGAACTTTTATGTGTGTAAATATGTGACACGATTTTTTTTTTTTTTTAAAAAGAATAAAATATATTTCGGATCATGAACAAAAATTATGGGATCCAATTTAATCTCTTAAAAAAAGGAAAGGATATTGTAACAATCAAGTTGTGTTAATACCAAGTTACTATCAATCAATCTCACCGTTAGATCGATTATGTGAATCCAACAGTTATATTTATTTTCATCAAATTTAATACTTTATATTTATTTCCACCTTTGTATGGTTATGATTTCTCGTATTTAATGCTTTCACTTTAAATATGGAGAATCATAATCATACAAATATAGAAATAAATATAACTGTTAGATCAACATAATCGATCTAATTGTGAGATTGATTGGTAGTAAGATGTTAGTAACACAACTTGGTTGTTATAATATCCTTCCCCTAAAAAAAATTGACTCGTGATCCCATTAAATTTCAAAATAGACTCATGTTAGTCATTTTGAGGGACAAATGTGGGTCTTCTTAAATTTAAAAGGGACCACAATTTTGATTATCTAGGTCTATTTTTGAATTCTGAGGAACCACAAGTCAATTTTTTATTAAAGAAATAAATTGGGGTCCCTAATTTTTGTTAAGGATCCAAAATGTTCAATTGTAATAATTTAGTTGACTCTTAACTATAAAGGACCCAAAATGTTAAAGTTTTCTTTCTTTTTTTATTTATATTCTTTTGTATTTTAATATATTTAATTTTTTCTTTAATTTTTTTTCCTTTATTCTTTTATTGTAAATGTGCAGACATAAATAAAATTTTTTAGGTCTACTATTGCTCTAAAATATAAAAATTAGTTAACCAAGAAATGAATTTCTTGTCCGAATAAAAATTAAAAAAAAACCTCCACTGAAGAACTACTCTTACATTTTTATTTTCAAATAAAAATAAAAATGAAAGACTATTGATTTTCTCGCTCTCTTGACTTAATTTATTGATATGTTATTCTTTTCAGTTCATTTTCTTTTAGTATCTCCTAGTGTTAATAAAATCGGACCGATTCGAAAATCGGTAAATCGGTCATATAATTGATCGGGTTGAAGCAACGGACCGACCATGCTTCAAAACCGGTGTGACCCGGTTTGACTGGGCGGTTTTCATGAAAATCGGTGACCCGGTTCGATCCCAAAAAAAATCTTAATTTTTTTTTTCAAATAAAAAATCATAATGGACATATTTGAATATTTTTTTTGCTTATTGACTTACATAAATTATGTACATACAATATTAATATTATCTCAATTATGCACTATGCAGAAAATTTTGATTTGATTTATAGTTAGAGATGTCGTTTTCTGAACCTAAAGCCTCGTATCACGATCATTATATTCTTGTTTGATCCTTTATTGGATAATAATATTTGATTTATTATTTTTATATTAAAATATTTGAAATTTTTATCATTTTTTTTTAGATATTTGAGTATGTTTATAATTTTTTAATATAAATTATAAAATTGCATATAATTATCGAGTCATGCGATAGAACCAGTGACTCACTGGTTGAACTCAGTGACCCAGTACCTCGACCGAGTTAATGACCAGACCGATTTTAATAACATTATCTCCTCACTTGACTAAGTAAGAAACTAATCTTCCAATATATACAGTAATTTTAAAATTAATAAATTGGGCTTAGTCACTTTGTCATTTACTTCAAATTTGTTTTTCTCAAACAATAAAACGATAAGCAAACGTAATTTTCACCTCGTGAACAAGAAATAACAAAGAAGATATTTTTGTCAAAGTTTATATATCCCGAAACGGAAGTTATCTGATTACTCAAAGAAAGAAACTAACTTAAGTAACTTTGCTAGTGGTTGTGGCCTCTTTTCATCGCTTTGTTGATTAATTCAAATGTGCCTTTCTTCATCACATTATACCTTACTCTTTCCCTACCAAATAAGATATTCAGAGTTCCCATTGATGAAGAACAATGGCTCAAACTCTTGTGTGCTGGCTACGAACACAGAGTTAACGTCCATCATTGTCCAAATCCAGCTTGCTTTCACCTACTCCTTTAAGACCACATGGCTCAGTACTCAGATTTTTCTTTCCAGCAACTATATATTAACCACTGAGGATTGCCGCTCCTCATCCAGACATTTATTTGCTATGAAGCACCGACACTTCAAAAACTCTAACGTGTCGTGTCCGACACTTCCCGACACTCTCGGACACTCCGACACTCCCCGACACTCCAACACGCGTTATTGAAATTCAAAAAACGGTTCAAAGGTTAAATTGCGTTGAGTTTTTAGTTCCAACTGTTAGATTCGTTAGATTATGATTACCATTTTATTGAGTTTAATATAAATATTTGGAATATCTTATGTTTCTTTGCAAAATTTATGAATATTATAAGTTTAGATACATTTTTTTGTTAAATTATTGAATATTAAATATAATATATACTACATAAATTAAATATATTATTTAATATCAAAACGTGTCCTAACGTGTCGAAATTTAACATTTTTTAGAATTAACGTGTCGGAGTGTCGTGTCGTATCGTGTCACGTGTCCCGTGTCAGTGTCGGTGCTACATAATTTATTTGTTCCATGATATTATAATATATGTGTAGCTTTTTCTAATTCTTGTTCATCTGATCAATAAAATCGTGCATGCAAATGCAAGACCGAAGCAAATTAATTGGCGTCTTTAAAGTCATTTGATTATAAGGGCAAAATATTATTGTTATTCTAATAGATTAATAAAGGCAGCATTTTAGAATTAAGGTCCCATTATGCACAGGGTTCAAGGAAATTAAGGTTTAGGTCCATTAAGTTGGTCGACAATTAGATCTATAAGAGAGTGATTATATAAATTGTCACCCAATCAATTCTCTTAAAGCTAAATTCTTTGAGTGAAAGCATATGAATAATTTTATTATGGCTTTTCTTTTTGTCATATCACATGACAAGAACATTTTTCTGTAGACACAAATCAAGTGTGAGTCTCACGCGCTTGAAAAAAATAGGATATGAAACCGGATCTTTGTTGCAAGAATGAACAATATCATTCTTACAACATGATTCTTATATTTTCCTTTTATTATATCTCTTAACATATTTTCTCACACAAAACCCTTTATCTTGTTTTTATTTTATTTATGATTTAAAGCGTGATTGATGCATAATTTTTTATTTTTTTTTGGTTACTTGGGCTGAAATTTTAATTTTTTTAATTAGAGAATGAGGCGACAAACATGAAATTCTAGACCACTAATTTATAGATTCTGGTACATGTCACACAATTAACTTTGCCAAAAACTTGAGTGAATATATAAAAATAATTTTATTATATCTCTTAATATAAATCAAATCCGTGCTCTCCAAATCATATATGACCACAACACCCACTATATATTGTGCAACGCTTTGCTTCTATTATATTTGATGAATAGAATGGGGTATACTAATTGATAAATAGGACGTGTCTTTGTTATTGTACCGTTGGAATCTATAAGCCCACTGTGTTCCCTTTGGAAATGATATCACTGTATGGTTGGTGCCACTAGCAGAGGTACCAAGCTAGAGAACACTGTACCAAATATGATGGCAAGAAGATAACAATAGATGATTCAGTATGAATGTATGTGACTTAATATAAATGGACATAATAACGATACATAAGATAAGATCATTTAATGGTGCGCCCAAGGGGCTCTTTATAGGGGAAGGTGGTGCGCACCTGGTGTGAGTTGGTGAGGAGGGGGTCAACCCTCCTTGGGATTCACTACGGGTGGCAGTGTTGGGCGTGGCAAGCGCTGCTATAATAGCAGTGTTGCGCCCTCTGCGTCTGGCGGTGTCAGCGTGGGACAAAGGGGCAGTTTCCCTCTGTGGTGACTGTGGCAGTCTCCCTTGGGGGTTGGGGTCCCAAGACAGTACATTTTGGTGTTTCTCATAGGGAGAGTCGTTGCGTTAGGGGTTGGGGAGGGATCCTTGGTAGCTCCTAGGGCTGACGTGAGCAGGAGGCTGAAGCTGGACTTGAACTATTGAGCCGCCAATGGTTGAGCCATCCGGAACAATTATGTAATACTGTTGGCCCAACTAAAACCTAGAGGGACTGCTCACCTAAATGTGCAAAAAACCAAGTAATTTGAAATTTATTTTATGATACTTTATGACTCTAATAATGGGAAAAATATACCGTGGTCCCTGATCTCTTCTATCTTTCTTTCTTTCTCCTCTCTCCTTCCTCTTGTCTCTAGCCGGCCCAGCTGATCCAGGAGCATAAAAGAAACGCTCCTAATAATGGTCCCTGACTTGACGTGTTCAATATATATATGCATGTAGCCTTCCCAACTACTTTGTCGTGGAACTTCATAACAGTGACTTGCTAACCACAATGAGTTTTAGAAGAAAAATGGAAGTTGAAATAACAATTCTATGGTCAGGTAAGAACACTTAACACTCGGAATCAATCGAAAAACAAATTACGTGCTTCAACTTCTCTTTGATTTGAAAATAGAACTATATTTTCTTAGGATATTTTTGGCTAGTATCAGACCAACCAATAACCATGAGCGTATTTTTTTTTTTTCTGTTTTATATTAATTATCTCTTTGCTTCTATCTTTATTGTTATCTGTGCTCTCTTTATTAGTACTCTAATATTACTGAAAAGTGAAAAGTTGTGTGAATCAAATTATTGATTTTGGGTATCAAGTGTTAACAAAGAATGTTTATTCACATAGAATACACGTTTGGAGAGTTT